AAATAAAATTGGTAGAAAAAAAAAGGGCTAAAAAAACCTCATAGTTTTGTAATTTCCCTAGAATATTAGAATAGAGATTTTGCCCCTGCATAGGCCGTATTTATTCAACTGGTCCCTTACTGAGGAACAGTAACCGCATTTCCTACTTTTTCTTTTTGCTATGACAACGCAGCCATGACCATCTGCATACTTAAAACTGTCTGCAGCCACGCTGGAGCATGGAGTCCTGAAAGTGAAACTGCTGGGTTGGGGGCAAGAGTTCACACTGTGAAACGTACCACCAAACTATTCCTGCCAACGGTGTGAACTGCCCATTTGCTCCCCTCATCACCAATACTGGGTATCTTTTTACTAATTTTCCCACTCAGAAAGGCAAGTCATCTCATTTCCATCTGGGTGTCTTTCAGTGTTAAAGACGTTGGGTGTCATTTCTGGCTTATTGGTCATCTGGATTTTTTTTTTTTAATTTTAAAGAGATTTACTCTGAGCCAAATTTGAGGACCATGACCCGGAGCCACGCCCAAGAGGCCTTGAGCAGTGGACTCCCTGGATTTCTTTTAATATGGAGTTCATATTCTTTGCCTAATTTTCTTGTCCTCTTTTTCTTATTACTTTCTAAGAGCTCTTTGTATATTATGGGTATTAGTCCTTAGTTAAAGATACTGCAAATACTGTTATCAGTCTGTCATTTGTTTGTTGTTTTTTCCTCCATACAGAAGTTTTTTCTTTTCAATTGGGTCAAGTCTAGCAATGTTTTCTTTTACAGCTTCTCAGTTTTGTGTCACATGCAGAAAAGCTTCCCCTACTCTCACTTTCTGCACAGCCATCAGTTCCAGCTCATGCAGTTCTTATATTTATCCACCCGCTGCCCCAGCAGTTGCCTGGCCTTTCAATGTCCCACATCACTCTCCAGCCCCAAGGCAGAGCTTGGGCCCTCCGAGTCCCAGGGCCAGCGTGGACTGGGGAGCTGCTGGGTGTCCAGCTCCAGCCTCAAGCTCTTCTCCAGCTCTGCAGCCACCCGGGGAGCAGCAGCCTGGATGGCATCCAGGACACTGTGTAGGTCCCACTGGGTCCTCAGGAGGGCATCGTCCAGTGTGAAGATGCCATCTCGTGTGCGCCGCACTTGGGTACAAACAGCGGTGGTCTTCAGCTCCAGGCCAATTTCATGCACCAGCTTTCGCAGCTGCTTCTGTGTCTCGTGCATGCACTGCACCTCTGTCAGGGACACACAGTCATGGGCACAGTGGTCAGGAGCACAGCCTCTGGTGTCTGGCTGATCTGAATCCACACCCCATGGATACCTCCTAGTGACATAATGGACCCGAGCGAGACACCTTAGCTCTCTAGGCTTTGCTACTGAGAGTGCAGTCTGAGGGCCAGCCCTGTGGGTGCCACCTGAAACCATGTTAGATATGCACAATCTCAGGCCCTGCCCAGACCTGCTGAGTCAGAATCTGCCTTTTAAGAAGATCCCCAGGTGATCTGTGGGCAGGTAGCTTGAGAAGTCTGTGCTAAGACTTGGTTTCCTCATCTGTAAAACGGGGGCTAAGAGGAGTGAAAGAGATCATTTATAAAAGGCGCTTAGCATGGGAGAGCCCTGGTCAGTGCTCAAGCAAAGGAGTACGAATTAACATGATCAACAGAGAGAAAAAGGAGTGAGGGGTGGGGAGCACGCAAAAGGAACAACGATAAGTTGGACACTGAGCCTGGGGGCACTGGCAGTTAAGAGTTGTGTCTGATGGGCACATGTGTCTGATGTGTCTGTGACAACTTGAACCACTGGCAGCTCTGGAAATGAGCTGCTAAATATAACCTGCTTGTTAAGGTCTGGCTTCAAAGGGTAACTTGGCAGGAGATAGAAGAGCTTTTGTTCTGTGTGCTTTGTGATCAGCTAACTTGGGGCCCGGGCTGGGAAGGAAGTCAGCGCCTGATGGCTTGGCCAGCAGCGATCAGGGCTGGTGTGTGTCTGCCTTGGCCAAGCCAGAGGACAGTGGCATGCGTAAGAGCATTCCACGGTGACTCCCCAAACCCAAGGGCCCCATCTCAGTACCCCAACGTCCTGGGGCAACCTACCTAGGAGGAATTCTGGAGGTGCAAAGTGGAGGCATCGGATGCCGGTTATCAGCATGGGGGACTTGTTCATGGGCCGGATCAAGCCTCTCACAGCCATCTCGTAGGCTTCCTGGGTCTTCAGGTCGAGGTTAGAGTACCTGCGGATCAGCAGGGGGCTGGAGTCCTGCAGACAGCATGGGGTGGGGAGCTGGGCCGACCACCTGCCCCTACCGTTGCCCCACTCACGAAAAGTGCCTTTCCAGAAGCTCTTCATTCACCTTCCGTGTGCCCTGCCACTCCTGCTCCTACAGCCACCCTGGCAGCAGCCTCTTTGTCTCCTGCAATCCCTAAACACAGCCTCTGCACGCCCTCCCTGGCTTCACAGTCACACATGCTGACCACTCCAAACCTCCACCCGTGCCCTGGGCTCCGGCATCTCAGCCTAACCCAAAGTGACTCGACGTTGTCCTCCTCCATGGGGTCTTCCTCCCGCCATCCTAACACCCCCAGCCGCCCAGGTGTCTGCCAGCCTCTTCCTCGATGCCGCCCTGTGGTGCTGTCCGCCCTGCTCCATCCCTTGCTCTCCTCCACGGGTCATGCCCTAGCTGCAGGTTGGGCCCTTCTTGGTGGTTGCCCAGGCACTGTCCTTGCTGCCTACTTCCTGCGTCCAAATTTGTCCCCTCTGGTCCCTTCTCCACATGGCCCCCAGGAACAGGACTGCAGTGCACTGGCTGTTTCAGACCTGAAAATGGCTCCCACTGCCCTCATCAACCATGTCCCACTTCCCTTCACTCCTCCCCCAGGTACCTCGCACCCCTGTGCGGGCTCCTTACCAGGTTCGGAACGCATCTGGCTGTTTCACCGCGAACCTGGGCCCGTGACGGTCCCACCACCTGCTTCTCCCCAACCACAGCTACTTGGCAATTTCACATTGTCCTTGAAATGATGCTGCCTAGGGCATTTTCTCTGATCACAGCAGCCTCCCCACCTCAGGTGGCTGTTCTGCTGGTGTCGCCCTACACCTGCAAGTCACTGTGCTCAAGTACCTGCCTGATCCCCTTGAGTCCTCAGCACATGTCCCTAAGGCAAGGGCTCTTTCTATCCCCAGTGTACAGAAAAGGCAAGTGAGGCTCCCAGCCAGGTGGGCCGTTCACCCAAGGCCACACCACTGGTGTCTGGCAGCGTTGAGAATGCCAGCCAGGCTGGCTCCAGAGCCCGCGCTCTCAGGACGAGGCTACTCTTGCTCCTGGGCTCTGTGCTACCATGACGTGGATCCTTGGTTTCCTCTCCAATAGATCATATGCTCCCCGGGATGACAGCTAGGATCTCCTGTTCCTCTTGGCCTCCCAATGCCCAAAACTCAGCACACAGAAACATTTCTGCATGCCGAGAAAGAAACGGGTAGTTCCTGTGTGGTTTCAGGTTCTAAAAACAGGAGGCGTGGGGTCTGTCCAGGCACCTCTCCACGCTCTCCCAGCACCTCCCTAAGGGCCCCACTTACGTCACCAGAGCCTTCTGATGGGAGCCCTGGATCATGGCCAGGATGCGGTCCAGCTTCTCTCTGGTCACGTGGTCTGGAAAAGGCAGGGGGTGGTCAGTGCACAGGTGGGGATGGCCCACAGCAAACTCTTTTCCTCCATACCAGTCCCATCCTTGGAACCTGGAGAGGGGATGTTTTGGAGGGATTCCCATGGCAGGGGTGGCTGGGAGTCCTTTGAGAATCTGATGAAAGCTCTGGACCTTCTTCTCAGAAAGATACATGTGAAAGCAACATTTTGTGGACATTTTCAAGGAGCTCACAGATCTCCTGAAGCCATCCAGACTCCAGGGTAAGAACACATTCTTCTGGACCAGGCATGGTGAGGGCTCATGCCTATCATCCCAGCACTTCGGGAGGCTGAGGCAGGAGAATCACTGGAGCCCAGGAATTTGGGACCAGAACAGCCTGGGCACCATGGCAAGACCCTATCTCTACAAAAAGTAAAAAAATCAGCTGGGTTTGGCAGTGCACCCCTGTAGCTCCAGCTACTCAGGAGACTGAGGCAGGAGGATCGCTTGAGCCTGGGAGTTAGAGGGTGCAGCGAGCTATGATCACGCCACTGCACTCTAACCTGGGTGATAGAGCAAGACCCTGTCTCTTATAAAACAATTGAAGAAGAGAATACTTTCTTCTGGAAATGGAAGCCCAAAGACGTACTTGCCCAATCTTTTAAGCCAGGTCTCTTAAGTCCCAGTCTGGGTTTCCCATGCCAGGGACCCTGAGAGGGTGCCATCTGCCCAAAATGCAGAAAGAGGCAGCAAGAAGTGCTCTGCCCGCTGATCCCAGTGAGTGGCTATAGCAGGAGAGCCACAAATTCTGCCACAAGGCTGATCCTGGGGCTCAGCCAGGGCAGGTGCCAACTTCTGGCTCCAAGGGCCAGAGCTCCGAGAGCAGGTGTGGGGACCAAAGCGTTGCTAGCCTGGAAGGGCCTAGGGTCCCCCCGGTCTGGCTTTGCTCATGCTGTGGTCTTACCTAGATGTACCTGCTACTGCCTGCCCCCACCTCCTCACAGCCCAGCTCAAATGCTGCCTCCTCCAGGAAGCCCTTCCTGGAACATGCTGCTTCCTCCTCCTGGCTCCTGCCTCTCCGCTCCTGCGCCTCTTTTCCAGCACTTAATTTTCTTTGATTTTTACCTTACTTTTTACTTATATAATTGATACCTAAATCTTCTTTTAAAAATTTAGACTGGCTGGGCACAGTGGCTCACATCAGTAATCCTAGCAGTCTGGGAGGCCTAGGCAGAAGAATCGCTTGAGCTCGGCAGTTCCAGACCAGCCTGGGCAAGAGTGAGACCCTGTCTCTACTAAAAATAGAAAAAATTAGTCGGGTGTGGTGGTGCATGCCTATAGTCCCAGCCACTCAGGAGGCTGGGGCAGGGGGATCAATTGAGCCCAGGAATTTGAGGTTGCTGTGAGCTATGGTGACACCATTGCACTCTAGCAGGGGTGACAGAGTGAGACTGTTTCAAAAAAGAAAAAAAAAAAAATTTAGACTAGCAACAACAATCATTCCCTCCCATCCCCACAAATTCTAGTTTCCTCCCTCCTGGGAGTGTCACCTTAGTAACCGACTCTAGGTGCTTTCTTAGATGTTGACACATACTGACATGTACAAATGTATAGTGCCGCTTTGCCAGATGTTCTGTCTTCTACAGGAGGCGTAGTGGTGTGTGCTGGGCTGAGTTCACTGAGACTAGGGGCTCTGTCTGATTCACCCTATGTGCCCCCAGTGCCTGGCACGTGGTTGGGTCCAAAAACCATCTGTCAAATGAGCAAATGCAATAGATCCCATGGAATGCCTTGGAACATGGGGATGGCAGGAAGGGAAGAAGGAGGCATCCATCCTCCATCCACCCGTCTACCAGCACCTCCCTCTTCCCAGGCCTGGTGCTCTGCGTGTGACCAGAGGAGTGAGCCACATAATCCTGCCCTCATGGGTGAGTCTGCTGGGGAGACGGATATTAAGTGATCACAAATCATTAGTCACTCTTCTGAGAGTCCACCCAGTCCAACTGTGGAGGCTAGAGAAGGCTTCTCCAGGGAGGTGATGTTTGAAAAGGTGAAAAATTTATACCGTTTGAAGAGAAATCAGAGTATCTGGAGGTGACATTTGAGCCAGGCGAGGAAAAGACAGATGACGTGTCCAAAGTCCCAGCCTGAGCTTGGTGTGTCAAGAGTAAATGAAAAGGGATCAGCGTGGCCCAGGCGAGGGCCAGGAGTCGAGGGAAGCAAGCGTGGAGGGAGCCGCCCTGGGCTGCCACAGGCTCTCACCATATGTCGTCTTCTCCACCAGCCGCCCGTCCTCACGGAAGTCATCTGTGGCTTTGCCCAGGAGGCCACGCACTGTGTAATCCTTCAAGGACAGGGAGGGGAAGACCCGGTCAATGTCCCCACGCTCAGCCCTAGCAGCTCATGCCCCAGAGGTGCGACACCGAGGCTGGGGCCCTCGGGTCTTCCCTCAGGGAGCTCACGCGCCCAGCCCCTGCCCAGCTGCTCCACTGCCCCCTGGGGAAGGGCACCAGCTCTCCTGTGTGGCCTTTGGCAGCTCCCTTGCTCTCTTTGTACCCCAGCTCTCCTCTGTGACTGGGGACGGTGACAGGGCAATCTCATAGTACTGCCGCAGATTCAGTGAGACTCAGTACCTGGCTCCCAGTCAGCGGGCCTCCTTCAAGATCGCTGCCTGGGTTCCCGTGACCGGCGGCACTGGCTGCCTGCAAAGGCACCGATGGCCGTCCTGCGACCACCCCGTGCCTTGGTGTCTCTCCGCTGCAGCTTGACCTGACAATTTACCACGCTGAGGCCTCTTGGCATGCCCTGGGGCTTCTCTCCACCCCTCCGATGTGACTAAGCTTTCATGACCCAGATCAAGGCCTTCCTCCTCCCAACTCCCCCTCCTCTACATCTGTGCAACAAACTGCCTCTGCCACAGATAGGAGTGACGAAGATGATGACAGAGATGGTGACAACAGTGACATTTACTGAACATTTACTATGTGCCAGGGACTATGCTAAGCACTTTACATGTAGTCATTAATTTAATCTTCCAATTATAGTTTTCCTATAGGGGAAATACTATTAATATCATCTCCATTTTAGAGATGAGGAAACTGAGGCACACAGATGTTAAACAATCTGCCCAAGGACACACGGCAGCAGAGCGGTAGAAGCTGGGTTTTGAAATGAAGACATGTGGCTCCAGAATTTGTGCTCTCTCTCTCTCTTTTTTTTTTTTTTTGAGATAGAGTCTTGCTCTGTCACCCGGGCTAGAGTGCTATGGCATCGCTCACAGCAACCTCAAACTCCTGGGCTCCAGCCAAGCAGCTGGGACTACAGGCATTCACGGCCATGCCTGGCTAATTTTTTCTATACCTTTTTAGTTGTCCAGCTAATTTCCATTTTTTTAGTAGAAATGGGGTCTCGCTCTTGCTCAGGCTGGTCTCAAACTCCTGAGCTCAAACGATCCGCCCTCCTTAGCCTCCCAGAGTGCTAGGATTACAGGCGTGAGCCACCGCGCCCAGCCTAGAATTTGTGCTCTTAACCACTAAGACTGTGGGCCCCCTAATGTGGCACCTGTTCACATACTTTGTGGTACCAGATTCCAAAGCCCCACCCTGGACGGCACGCTCCGAGGGCTGCATGGTGACATCCACTTCCCAGTCTTGGGGAATGAATGGAAGGCTGCTGCGATCAGGCCCTGATGTCACAGAGATCCAGGTTCAAATCCCAGCTATTAAAGCCCTAGAAATGCTGTGTGACCTGGGCAAGCAACAGCCCCTCTCTGAGCCTTAGTTCTCTCTTCTGTAAAATAGGATGAACAACAGATTCTACTTTACAGCGAGTTGTGAGGCTTCCATGAGGGAATCCATGTACAGGGCTCAGCACAGAACAGTCAGCACATACTAATGCCAGTAGTTACTGTTGTCATAGCCTCCTCAGCACATGACTATAAAAATGCTTGCTGCTGGCCTCGGTGCTTCCCCATGGAATCCTCTAAGCTTCAGAGGTATTCCGGTGACCCCCCCGGGAAAGGAACAGGGATAGGCAGGCTGTCCCCACCCCCCATACCTTGGTGAGATGAACATTGTACATGTCGGTGAGGAGCCTGCATCCCTGTCCCACGCCGAACACTGAAAGACAGCCAGCCTTGTCTCATACCTGGCACCCCCTTCCCGTCCCCTTGGCAACCCGCACCCTCACCCCCACCCTGCCATCAGATTACTCCCTTCTCTGATGCTGTTAAAGCGAGCAAGAGGGCGAGATCTTCCACAGGGAGCAAGCGAACTCCTCTGGATATATGTCGAAATGTGGATTTCTGGGCCTCATCCATAGGTACTGAGTCTGACTCAGGTGGAGAGGGGTTTAGGATCTTTAGCAAGGGGATTCTGATACACTTAAAAGAGATCACTGGCCCAGTCATATGACCTGCATTCAAATCAGCAATAGCTCTGAGTATAACCTTTAACCTCTTTAGGCCACAAGCTCATCAGTAAAATGTAGGTAAAAATGTCTGATCCCCGTGGGGGTTGTGCAGATTAAAGGAGGCGATGGTGCCAGATGCGGTGGCTCACGCCTATAATCCCAGCACTTTGGGAGGCCGAAGCGGGAGGATCACTTGAGCTTAGGAGTTTGAGACCAGCCTGAGCAAGAGTGAGACACCATCTCTACTAAAAATAGAAAAATTAGCCAGGCGTCGTGGTGTGCACCTGTAGTCCCAGCTACTCTGGAGGCTGAGGCAGGAGGATCGCTTGAGCCCAGGAGTTTGAGGTTGCAGTGAGCAATGATGCCACTACACTCTAGCCTGGGTGACAGTGAGACTCTGTCTCTAAAAAAAAGAGGCAATGCACAGGCAGGAAGCAGACAGTACAAAAGAGGAGCCCAGTGAACAGTGGCCATTGTGGCCACTTCCTGTCTTTCTTTCGGTCTGTTTCTCCCTCTGGCTGAAGGAGAGAATGACCCCGTCCGTATTCACTCTTGGAGGAGAACAAGGAGAGGGGCATGAGATCATGTCTGCTTGCCTACACCCCAGGAAGCAAGCCAAGGGGACTGTGATTGTCACAGCTGGAGGAAGTGGTTACCACCTGACACTGAGGACACAGATGGTTCATGACTAGGGCTTTGTGTATCCGGCTCCAGCAACATCCAGACCCTGGCCAGTAGGGGTAGAGTCACACGCCTGGCTGCCCCATAACATGATGATGGTTTCCCTCTCTGGGCCAGTGGCATTCACTAGCCATGTGACACAGGACAAGTCACCTAAGTTCCTAGAACCTTCCTTTCTTCATCCATAAAATTATCCACCTAATAAAGTTGTTGTGGTGAATAAGTGTGCACAAAGGGTCTTGAAACACATGTCATATGTAGGAATCACTTGATCAAGGTGGGCGATTGTCATTATTACCCTATGACTGCCACCCTCTCACCAATCATCTCCCCAGCTGAGCAGACTTGGGGCAGGAATCAGAGGAGGAAAGCAGTGGTGGGAAGTGGGTGTCAGGCAAAAAGTATGCTGGGCTCCCGGTAGTTCCCTGATTCTTCCCCAAGCCCGTATCACTGCACCCCCAGGCTTACCACATCACCTACCAAGCACCCCAGAAGCCTGGGCATCCAGCCGGTGTCCCACACCAATCTTCAGACTGGTGAATGCTGGTCCACATACTGAAAAAAAAAGAACAAGGTCCACTTGCTTAATCTTTGGATTGCGTGATGACCTCATTCCTAGAATGGAGCCTTGTGGAGCCCAAAATAGGATCAGGAGAGACTCTCAGGCTTCCCCACTATGGAATCTGGGACCCTGAACCATTTCCTCCATTCCCGGGGACCCAGAGAAAGGGTGACTCAAGATGCCTTTTACTCTGCTTACCATCAGTCTCCAGTGACAGGCTTTCAGAGGATTGGCCATACCCTGGGGATCAAGACTGTGGAGTCCCTGTCCAACTCTGCTGAAGGATAGACCTCATAAGAAAATGGAGGCTCCTGGCTAGGCGCAGTGGCTCATACCTATAATCCCAGCACTTTGGAAGAGCTGAGGTGGGAGGATTGCTTGAGGCCAGGAGTTCAAGATCAGCGTGGGCAACATAGCGAGATGCCATCTCTAAAAAAAATTTAAAAATTGGCTGGGCGTGGTGGCACGCACCTGTAGTCCCAGCTACTTGGGAGGCTGTGGCAGGAGGATTGCTTGAGCCCAGGAGTCTGAGGTACAGTGAGCTATGATCATGCCACTGCACTCCAGCCTGGGTGACAAAGCAAGACCCTGTCTCTAGGGAAAAAAAAAAAAAAGAAAACAAAACAAAATTGGAGGCTCCCTAAGGTAGGACCTGAATCTGTCTGTTCAGAGTTCTATCCCCAGAGCCCAGCACTCACTCACTAGCTGCTGAGGAAATAACTATTGAAGGAATGAATGCATGAGTGGGCCAGAAGTGTTTATACTTCTATAGATCAAGAAGGATCTAGGGGAAGGTACAGGGTGGTCAAGAGCCTACTGAATCCAGACTATGTTACTTAATATCAACACTGAGCCTCAGTTTCCTCATTTGTGAAATGAGAATAGGACATATCTCACAGGATTGTGGTAAAGAGTCAATGAGATCATACTTGGGAAAGCCGAACACAATGCCCAGTACAAAGTAGGTACTTCATACGTTATACTTATTATCGTTAACTATAGGAAGTCACTGAATATCACCCGTTGGAGTTTTAAAGGTTTCCGTTCAAGCCCCTGGCCTCCCTGACACATGCCTTAATCACATCTAGTGACAGGGATGCACTGCTAGAACCAGTTCCATTGTGGGGCAACTTTGTTCACTAAAAAGTCACCCTTTCCCAGAAACCCAAAACCCCTTCCTTATGATTTCTACCCAAGGGTCTCAATTCCCACCTGGAGTCCCAGAATAGTAAAAGGGCCAGCAAACTACAGTCCACAGGCCAAATTCTCAAGCCTGTTTATGTTTTTGTTTTTTATGGCCTGCAAATTAAGAAATAGTTTTTCCATTTTTCAATGGTTCAAAATAAATCAAGAGAACAATACAGTTGTTCCTCAGTATCCATGGGAGATTGGTTCCAGGGTCACCCGCATATTCCCAAATCCACAGATGCTCAAATTCCTTATGTAAAAGGGTGTAGTATTTGCATATAACCATCCTCCCATACATGTTATTTTTCAAAATCTTTTTTTTAGAGACAGGGTCTTGCTCTGTCCCTCAGGCTGGAGTGCAGTGGCATGATCACAACTTGTAACCTCAAACTCCTGGCCTTGAGCAATCCTCCCAATTTGGCCTCCCAAAGTGCTGGGATTAAAGACATGAGGCACTGTGCCTCTCCCATATACTTTAAATCATCTCTAGATTACACATAATACCTAATATGTATGCCTACACATCATTTCATTTGTGTGGATTCTATGCAGTATTCCGTGCATGGCAAATTCAAATTTTGCTTTTTGGAACTTTGCAGATTTTTTTTTTTTTTTTTTT